TTTTCATCATAAAAGAAATCTTTCCACAATAATGGTTAATTTGTTAATTTTTACTTGACTCAACATAACATTAATGAAAGTAATTAATTACTGTTTTGTTTCAGATATTATCTGTGATCGCAATCGGTTTGATTGTGGGTGCTCTGTACTCGCCACAAGTCGTTCAATCTGACCATAGACATATCGCTCTCATCTTTTCATCTTATTCAAGTAAGTGTCAAAACTATATAAAGAACGTTGTATCATCGCTTAATTTGCAGACCAATATTTAGCATTTCATCATCATCAGCTCACTATATGTCCCCACTGAGGGGTTCGGAGCCAACCCTAAATTAGGGGTGACTATTTAGCATTTTATTTTCATACCATAAATGTTAAATTGATGAGACATGGATGGGCTTGATATTTTACTAGAAATATTTATTTACTTAATCGGCAAATTTTAATAAGTATCCAATAAACTTTTTTTTGGGACTATACGAAATAGGTTTTACAAAACACTTAATAAATTTGTCTCTTGGCCACTTGTCACATGGCCAGCGTGGTTGACTATGGCCTAATCACACTTAACTTAGGGTAGGCTCCGAGTCCCTCAGTGGGGACGTATAGTGAGCTGATGATGATGAAATTTGTCTCTGGATGTTGACTAAGATAGACCATGACCCAATTGTTACGACAGATTATTTTCTAATCATTCAATTTACGGGCAATTATTTGTCGATGGTACTAATTCACGCTTGACTTGTTACCGACAAATGTTGTAACAGATTAAAAAGACAGATCTCTTCGTAAATGTTAATCGTAGTTAAGTTGCCAGTATAAAATATTTGATCCGATATCTTATTTAAAAAGCATCCCGTCAATCTCCGTTTAAAACTTAATGCTATCTCTGAGTTGTTAAAGATAATGACAGGGACGGCGATATATTTTATAAAGAGTTTTAGTTGTCAGAAACCCACGATAATTCTTCTAAATTCTATATTATAAATTACGTACATCACAGAATTGGCACGTAAAGAACAAGAGTACTGTTTTGCCAGACGTGCCAAGTCAACATCAAAGTACATTTTTTTTTTTGTAATAATGACTCATTGTTAAACATTTGGTACACCAAGTTTCATTTGTTTTTGTTAATTGCGTCCTAATTAAGTGTATCTCCTGATACGCTGAAACAGTTGACGGTCGTTCGTCTTCAAATTTGGACAAAAATGACCAAGCATTTTCAATGAATTAGATGTTTTAAGAATCTTGTAATAATACAATATTGTTATTAAATAAATTGTTTACTAAAATAATATCTTTTTAAAAATTTACGAACGCAACATCTTAGAAATCAAACCAACGGAAAATCGTTTTCCTCGTGTGAAAACTTGGGAAAGTACAACTGGTGGTCGTAATTATAGCTACTTCCTTGCGCAAATTACAGTGCTACACTTTGTTTCGTAACTTTCCTTGTATTAATTCAAGGAAACAAGGATAAAAACTTTTTCACACTGTACTTGACGTTCAGTTTGACGACATCGCAATGACAAGGAGGCAGTTTTAGTAATTGTGTAACACGCCTATGTAGTTATTGAACTTTTCACTTCTGCACAAGGGGCCATATAAATTTAACGTAGAATATTAAAAGTATCTATAATTATTTTCAAATATCTTGGCGGCTCAAGGTCATCGCCGCGCTGCGCAATGCCCTACGTGTGTGCAACGAATCGGAAGCTACGAACCGACATGATATCTGAAAGCATTTATACATGAACGCATTAAGTAAACAAATTTTTGTGTACAGGCTACATCATCATCACTGGGGTTCTGATCATCGCACGTCTGTTGGGCGAGTCTGCCGGCTGGAGAACGTCCATTGGCTTCTCAATAATGGGCTTCATCATGTTTACTGCTGCTGCAGCTGTTATATTCTATGGTAAGTTAATTGTTTTTTTTTTTAAGTTTTTAAACGATAGAGCTACTCTACCCTACATCTTTATTAGCTGTCATATCTAAATTCTGTCCCTTCTTAGGTGTTTAATTTACTTTAACGTGTTTAATCATTTGCCAACTGTTTATATCTTTGTTTTCGTCTTTATTATGTAATTTGTATGTATGTGGTTGTATAAAGATTATGAATATGGTCACGAAAACATTTGTTCTAACCTTGGGAGTCATATGAGCACCGAAATATTAATTGCGATTTAACTATTCCAATAGGGAAGTAACTAAAACATTGACCTCCTTCAAAACGTATATATGAGCTGTATCATAAATATCTTTTTAAATTTAAAAACTACGCCTATTTATGGCATGTTTTTACCGGCCAGACTTTTTTGAATCTATATTGAAACTTCTTTGTCGACGTGGAAGTAATCTTTCAGTCAAACGAATTGAAACGTCCTTTACCAGTCCAGTAAGTTTAAAAAAAGTGTTTGAATTACACAATAAACTGAATTACACTAATACAACTAGAAGGTAAACTTTGCCCTTTTAAATTACTAAATAGAGCGGAAAGACAATTCCCATTGATAAAGGTTTTTTATCTGTTTTTCAAGAAATTTAAATACTCTTTATATCCTTGTTTTTGTACACATATAAGTTTTATTAATTGCTTTAAATTAAATACGAATTAAATTATTAAAATGGTAAGTTAAGGCTGCGAATTTCCAATACTTTCGTTTCTATCATTTTCCCGCCAAAATTGACGTTACGAGTGTGAATAACCTGTTACAACCGGTTATTAACGCATTAGGAATTCACAGATTAAATAACAAACGGTTATAACTTATTTCGTAAGTACAGGGAAAGCAAGTTTCTTCAATTAGATTGGATAAGTCAAACTGGTTTTACAATATCATGTTTAATCAACATAGAGCACACGAAAAAAATTGACTGGTAAACATTACTGGTTTACATTATTCCAATTCAATGAAAACCAGTGCTGGACCACTGGAAATATCCCAACAATCAACAGAACTCACATATACTTTTATTTAATTATAATTCAACGCTGGATCCAATAATGTAAACTGGGCATGAAAAAAGGTGTAAAAATGCCTATACAAAAGTTATATAACTATCTCATTATTTTCCAAAGAAAACGAGAGGGATGGCAATATGTTTACAGTTTGACAGTCGGTTAACGTGAATGTTTTATCCCTTTATTTTTTTAATAGCCAGAACCCTTTTTATTTATTACAAACAGACACAATCATCAAACACTTGCCAAACATCGAACACAAACAGGCAAACACCTATATATGTACTTGTTTGTTGTTTGCTGATTGCTGTTTGCCGTTATTTGCCAAGCGTATTTGGCATAATACTAACATTTTATTTTTTTAAATTTCAGATTGGCACAGATCTTATTACGCGAATCTCCGTCCCAATAAGGAGGCTTACGATTTACTGATATCTTCAGGCGTTTTCTCTATTATTAATGCCGCTGTTTTCCTCGTTCATATTTTCTTAACTTTCAAGAAAGAAGCTGATTATTAGAAAGTATATTAAAATTAAGATTTAATATATAATTTTTGTTATAATTTAACTACAGAATCAAAGATAGGATTAAGATTTTTTTTTTAATTTTATTCATGTATCATTTTCATTTACTCCAAAGTAATTCAAATTTTATTATTTAATAGTAATTATAATAAGTATAACAATAAGAATAGGTTTGTATTTTTGTAGCGTTTAAGTCAATCGTTGTCCTCTTGTCGTAGCTAAAAGAAACTTTTGTAGCAATGTTGCAGCTAAATAAATAGTTTTTTTCTGTAAAATCTGTAAACTTTTTCGGCCGAGGAAGTGCAAGCTTTATGTATAAACATATATAGTAAAGGTAAGTACATAACTTAGATAAGTTACATTATATGATTAAGTTTAAATTAAGTAAACATTTTTAATAATTCAATAATTTTTCTATTTTTGTATATTATTCTTTACTATACTTATGACATTCCGTCAAATTATGACAATTTTTTATTAGTGGTATTATATATTAACGAAATAAACCACCGTTATATACTAAACCTATTTATTTAAGCATTTTCTTACTTGAACTAGAAGTTTTATTGTCTTTTGTTTTTTCTTCATAATACTCTTATTAATGACGTCATAATTTAAAGGCCAGGTTTCTAAATTATACTCTAATCTTTGATTTAAGATATGACGATATAGAAACAGTCCGCGATGACAAACAAGGGACAGACAAACTGGGGCTAAGATTGTCTCGCAAATAAAATTAGTCTGCATAGTATTGGAAATAACGTTTATTTTTTATATCAATAACAATCGTAAAAAAGGCATGAAAAGCAAAATTATACCTTATTTCTATGATTTAAAGCTTAATTTTATTTGCAACAGAAACGTGTGCTGTGCCTCGGTCTGTATGAACGAACTATAACACGGCATTCGAGTATGTACCTTAGGACCAATTACGTATCGATCCAAGAAATCTCATACGCCTAATTCTGAATTAAATGACGCATTTTATTATAATTATTTAATACTCATTGCTATGGTCTTTCTTTACTTACTGTATTCTCCTTTCAGTATTTTCTAAAACTTTTTTTTAATTTTTAAGAGATATGTTTAAAGGGAGAACCAAAGCAGTAATCAGTATCCGTCCAATTTGTAGTTAAGTTTTTCTTTTATTATTATTTTTTATGTCATCCGACCATTAAATTACAAACAATAACAAGATAAAAAATTTACAGGCCAATTCGAGTTTAGACACAAATGCTATTAAAAACTGACAGGTAAAAAATATGTATATTTTTTATTTCAGTATATTTATATAACATTGGTAGGATTTGGTAGGATATTTGTCATCATCATATTTACGTATAATCAATTTTAGTAATAAGTTAATCGTTAATTTTCTATATAACTTACTTTAAGAAATAATGTTAAAACGCATGAATAGAAAATAATAATCAGACCAATTTATTATTTTTTTATGAATCAATATTTTTTTTACGTTTTTAGGTTAACGCCAGTTTTATTAAATAGTTTAAACGTTATTATTAATTAATAATTAAATATAAAAAATGTAATCCGGCGCTAATGTTACCTTATGTTATTTGCAATAATTATAAGGGAAAAGGTACCCGCGTCAAGCTATACGTAATATTATGTATATTTATTTTGCACATACACACATATAATATGATAAATATAACTTATGTACATATGCAAACGTGTAATCTTTGGTATTATTAAATAAAAACAGTATAATTGAGTTTTATTTCAACTTAATACTCGAGGGATCAAGATTCCCCCTATAACTACTGGGCTGTAAGATTTTATTCGTAAACAATATATGATTGTGGTTTTTATATTTCGTAACCAACATAGCCCCGTTTCGAATGGGTCGCAGGTCAATATAAATAAGGGAACATGATAAGGATGATGGTAGGAGACATCTAATCGGATAAAATGGAGGGAAAAATGTGATAAACACACATGTGAATAAATAATATAGGCGTGAAATCTTACATGTCACCTTCATATTCGCCTTTGTTTTTTACATCTTGCTTGAATTGACTGACTTAATGTTAATGTGACAATTTCGTAATAAATCATTATACATATTAAAAGAATTTTATGGAAATTATCCTTATATTAATTGCTATGTACTCATTTTCTCCTAGTATAAGAGATGATACCTCTAATGTAAATAATAACATAGCTATAGAAGGAATGTTAGAATAATATTGCTTAATAACAAACACGTAAGTATGTCTGACACTAACCTCAAACTTTTTGTTACATGAACATTTGAGGTTACTACAAAAAACACAATAAAGGAAAGTTGACAAAACAGTTCTTACCTTTTCAGCTTTCGCCAGATAGATCCATAACTTTCGCCAAGTTGAGAATTTCTTTTGATCACTAAAATTATATTGCATTTCTTTCGAAGCATATCGAGTGCTAAGCGGTGACCGGTAATTGCAAAATTCAGAGTTTTGTAACTCAACTGGAGCGTCGATTGAAAACATTTTCACTTAATTAAACTTTTAAACACAAGATAACAAAACTAAATGAACAACTAACAAGTATAAGAGGTTGTTTATAACATCTGATATGAGATTGACAAGTGACAACAAATTGCACGGGGTTGTCAGTAAATAAAATTCTACACAAAATGTGAAGAAGAATTTAGCTAAATCTTATTCACAAATAAACTTGATTCATTTTTCAAGCTTAGACTTTTTCCTCTTTTTGTCAAAATATAGAATTGTTACTACAAATTAACTTAAAAAGAGATAAAAACAAAGTGTGGTTACTTTGAATAAGTGTGTGAATTAAAAACTTTCAGTTGACTTTACATGTTATATGACTGTTGGGAACAATGACATTCACTAGCTGGCAGCCCTAGAGGTCAAGGTAGGTCAGGGCCGGTAACAAGTTCTGATAAAAAGGTTATCAGACTATGATGAAACTTATAATTTTTTTCTTATTCAATACGCTATAAAAATAAATCTAAATTCTTTGGGATACTTTAAATTGAAATCTATGCGAGATAAAGATTCAATTAAGTCACCTCGAATAGTTACAACTTTTAGAAATACATATGTACTCAAGCATTATATAGTAATTCTTGATAGCGTCCTCTGTGATATGATAATGATGCAATGTGCTTAGTTAAATTGGTAGTAAACACTATTGATTTATCTATATTAAATCATTTTATTACATCAGTTATGAAGTTTCTCTCATTGATTTGACTTTCCGGATGAGAGGATGCATGGATAGGGAAGATATGTTTCTTTCTGTGCATCCTCCCCTCCGTCAATTTAAGGTAAGCAGCGCATATGCAATTGCGTTTCTCTATGGGCAACGGTCACTTCACTATTTCAGCGATTTCAGGTGGCTGCTAGCTCGTTTGCCACCTTATGAAATAAAAAAAAGGTAAAATTACAAATAAAAAAAGATGAACTGTTAAGGGATAAAGGCTTATCTAATCTTACATTTTTGTATGATAAATTAATGTAATTTATTTTAAGAAAAAAGATTTTATATGTAAGAATTTATTTATTTACACAACATTGCATAGAGTCTGGCCTTTAAAACACATTTATAGAGTATTCATAAAAATAAGTATAGTAATGCATACAAATATACCACCTTCTTATAACTGTTATTTGATTTGTCTTAAAAAGTATAAAATTAAATATTTTATAGCACAGTTCAAGATGAAAATAGGCATAAATATGAAAAAGTAGATAATTTTTTTAAGTATAATTAGAAAGAACACGAAAATAGAATTATAAGTTAGGATAAATAAGAAAAAAAATTCTTGTCCACAATTTTTTTTTAAACATTTGACAAATAATATATCTTTGTTTTACACATTTTTCATACTGGCAGTCTTTTATTTGATATAAAAAATATTTTAGAATATTCTCATTTTTTTATTGTCTTCTATATTCTTCTATGGCCATTTATTATGTTAGACCATTAATAAAACTTTTTGCATATAAAATACTGGACATCTATAAAATATGTTCTGTATTGCACTATTTAAAAATAAATGTACAATTCAAACACATTTAAACCTTATTCTTCAATGATTTCATCATTTTCTCAAGCTTCATAGCTTTTTGTAGATCTCCGCTGATTTTTAGTTTGCCCATCATGAATGCGGTGGTTGGTTTTAATTTACCTGCAAATATAAATACAATTATTGTTAGAAATAATGAAAAAACAACTATAATAAACCTAAAATATTTCCAGCCTAAAATCTAGTTCTAATTATGAAATTTTTTGACTTAAAACGCTAAATAGACCCCACAGGGGTCTCTGAAATGGGGGTTAAAATGGCTACAAATAAAATTGGGGGGTTTTGATAAAAAGTTTGAAAAATCAGTTTTAAATAACACTGGCATTGATTAGATAAATAGTAAAAAATACAAACCCGCAAACATTTCAGCAAAATTAGTGCTGTCCATAGTAAGAGTGGCATCCGGTGGGTTCTTTGGCTCGCCCTGACCGCACGCGCCATCACCATTCTTAAGATCTATATGCCATACGCCTTCCTCTTTACCTAAAAAAAAATTTTTTTCGTTTACACTAACAACACTTGTATAAAAACGTATGTAATTGAGACAATTAAAAGATCTACTAAATATCTTACTAATATAATAAATGTTTGGATGGATGTTTGTTTAAACGTATCTACAGAATAACTGCATGGATCTAGCTGAAATTTGGCATAGATGTAGAACATAGTCTGGAAGAACACATGGGTTACTTATTATTTTTAATTCAGCGCGGACGGAGTAGCGTGCAATAGCTAGTTATTCATATATTGTATTAAAGATCCACTTATAACTATAAAAAATTTAGAAATGTTTTTTTTTGGCTTTAGAATTTGATCTGAGAGATAATTATATGATCAGCTTTTTAACTATAAAGCAGATTTCGTACGAAATTGTTTTTACTCCTCTTACAAAGGTATAATTTTCGAATTGATTGTTGAACTTGACAGTTAATTTCCAATCTCCCTAATCTTACCTTTAACATTAAATTGATAAACAGCTTGAGTTTTCTTCACCAATTCCGGTGTTATCACTTTGCTGATGGAACCGAATAATGTCGGTATCTGAGCTTCAGGTTCACTCTGGAAAACATTTGTATTACGAACGAGACTAAAATAATTACGTGTAAAAAAAAATATTTTAAAATTTTTTAGGAAAGTATTTGATGATGTTCGACAAAAAAAAAACATTTTTTAAACAAGATTGGTATTGCGGAAGAAAAATTACATTTTCATATCTAAATTGATAAGAGTTAATGCAATCTTATCGTAATTAAATAAGATTAGTAATCGTAAATATACTATTTAACTTGAATAGGAGTTTTATTTCAAATATCACTGGTTTCTAAGATACATGTGTAAAAAATATCATGTAATAATTTTTGATAAAACAGAGTTAACAATGTTTTAAACGCGGACTTTGTTCTTAGAAACCAACAATTAATGTTTTTTTTTATTATTTTCTTTTATAAGTACTCATTCCATAATCTGTAAGTTATTGTGTATTTAACGTTACTGATTTAAATCTCTATAAAAAATATATATTATTGAATAATTACTTAAGTATTCAAACTTACTTTACTTTTTCGCCTCGCAAGTGATAAGGGAAAATATGGAGAACTGATCGCCAACCTTCGCTAGTCGGAGAGGCACCTCAAGAAGTATTCAAGAATATGTTTTATAGAGATTTAAATCAATTTAATTGTAATAAAATTTCATGCATTAATTAACTACGTAATAAAAAAATATCAACATGCAAAATAACTAGAAGCAAGAATTATTTTTTCATTTAAAATTTCGAAAAAAAAAATTTTTTTTAAAAATAAATTCACAATTTACTTTAAAAAATTTAAATATATTCCATCACTATTTGTATACCAAAGAAACTGCCACCAAAAAAACTTAATCGAATAAACAAAAAGAAAACATAAATAACTAAGAATAAGAATAAGTGTAAAAAAAACTAAGAATAAGTGGTCATTGATATCGAGTTTATTTTTCAAATCACACCTTTTTCACTTGCTGTACACTCTCTCCGGGCACTTCCAAAAAGAAGTCTGGCATCAGATTAACTACATTACCTGCAAACAAATACATTGCCAATTTTGAACTATGCTTTAATAATTTTGAATTTAATTTCAACTGAAATGTGCCAGGATTAAAAAAA